CCATTTGTACCACATGTTGCTCTCCAACAAACTGTACAATCTCATCCGTCATGTGATTTGTATGATGCATCAACAGAATTAAGAAAAAGTACTTGTTGGAAAATTAACCAAAAAATTAATAAATGCCCTTGACTTCCATCAAAACATCCATATTACATAATACTTGCCCAGTACTTCTTCCACCCCTCTCTTTGTGAAATCAAAATTTTATTAACATCAAACACAACATCCTTCAAAAGGGGCTCCCTAATCTCATGTAATGTAGGAGGATTAAGTCCTTCGCCAAATTGCCCAATTGCCTGGACCATACATGCAAAACTATCAAGGGTTATGGTATTGAAAGGAATGCCGGCCATATAAAACCACTTTGCAATGTAGTTACACACTTTCTTCCTTTTTTCTTTCTTGTATTGATTTTTATTTGTGGATTATTTATTTTTTTCCTCCTCTCTTAAGCCACGATTTTTGGGTCAGGGGTGGAAAATGCATCCATTGGCCCCTTGGGAAGAGTTTTTTTTTTTTCCTAACACTTCCATCAATATTTATAACCCTCTCCCTTGGAGTACCCCTTTGCCTAATACCAAATTCTGATATATCCTCATCATCTTCATCATCATCAAATAATTGAATTTCATCAATTAATTCTTTTCGTTTCATTTGCTTCATTTCTTTTTGTTTTTTCAAGCTTTCCTTGTATTCTCTAATTCCGTTTTTAATCTCTTTACTAGCTTGTGGGTATGCTTTGACATTCTAGAAATACCGGCTAAGTGTTCATTTACTACGAAAATATCCCCCATATGAGTATTTCCACATAATATAAATAACACAATTTTGGTCTTTCGGATTTTTGAGTTTTGCATATCTCCATACCAGGTCCTTGTTGTTAGAAGATTGTGAAGAAGACATTGCCCCCCAAAAACGTATTACCGTATTAGGAAATAAAAAGTTACCGATTAATTGAAGAAAATATCAATATCTTCAGGGCCCTTGAAACGCTCGATATGTTGTCAAATCTTCGCGCAAACATCCTCAAATCACTAATCCCAATCAACAAACAAAGATCCACCAAGACCAAATCAAATGGATGCAAAATGTTTTTTTTGGAAGGGGGGGGGGGGGGGGAATTACTTAAATACCCCTTATTAGGGGGGTTTATTTTCTGCCACTAGAATGTGCGGCATATGGGGTGGGATGCAGTGCATATGTGGACACATCCCACGCGCTATTTTGCGATGTGCCTCCTGGCGCGTACCGCAAGATGCGGCCGCATATGCGGCGATGCGGGTACATCTTAAAACACTGTGTCAGATGAACCATTCAGTTTCTTTTATGTGAAATTTAGATGGGATTTTTAGAGGGTAGTGCTTCTATATCCCCTAATTTTTACCTCTCTCATAGGTGCAACCAAAAAAATTAAAAAAGAAAAGGGAAAAAGACCTTTATGTTTGTTTGTGTGTGTGTGTCCGAGAAACCCTTGTAAGAAAATCCTATGATGCTGCTTTTCCTCACTCACTTTCCTTAGAGCCTTTTTTACTCTTCTTCTTATATACTCACAAGAAAACTCTACATGGGATAAAATGTGGGATTAAAATCTTGTTCAGGTATGTCGTTTACTCGAAGTCCCACTTATTTCTTCAAAACATTTGTATCTGTTTTAAAAGTTGTTCTCCCCTTATTAAAACAACAATTTAAGAGCTTCTAACTTTTAAAATTTCCGCTAACTTTCATTTCTAAAATTTGAATATTGGAAATATTCCAAAATCACCCATATGAGCACTTTGTTTGAGACTCTGATGGAAAAGCCGTCGCTTGAAGTTTTCTCACTAGAAAACTGTTCATGGTTGAGAAAACTGTTCATGGGATAAAACGTGGGAGTAAAATCCTGTTCAGGTATGTTGTTTACTTTGAGCCGCATTTATTTCTTCAAACCATTTCTATCCTTTTTGAAAGATGCGCACCCCATATTAAAGCAACAATTTAAGAGCTTTTAACTTCTAAAATTTGAATATTGGAAAAATTCCAAAAACCCATTTGAGCACTTTGTTTGAGACTTGGATGGAAAAGCTGTCATTTGGACTCGAAGTTTTGTCAAGCTCTATGTACTTATCTCAAAATTTCGTTAGAGTAATGTCATTATTTTCTTAAAATCCCTTGGTTGCCACACTTTAATTTGATCTTGCAACATTTTTATGGCTGTCCATGCGTGTTTTTAACTTGGATATAGTTAGAAATAATAAAAATAAATATAAAAACTGTATCCATGAATTCCTTGATTTAATCACACTTCTACAACCTGCAATATTGTAAAACTATGGTGGCGGTCATTGCTAGACCGCTTCTCAACTATTAGATGCAGTATACATACATTTTATTTTGTGCTTGAAAGCATTTGTGCTTTTGATTTCTATTGGTTCTGCCTCTCCATTTTGCAGTATGGTTGGGTGGTGCTTCCCTTTTCTTTTGCAATGGGGATGCGTGGTTTTGTCCCTCCTGGTGGTTTCAAGGTTGGGTGGTCCTACCTACTTGTTGCAGTTATGGAGGACTACTCCACATCTTCCTCGTTGTTGTATTGATGTGTGGCTCTGCCCCTTTCCATTGCAACATTGAGGTGCATGGCTGCCTTATTTTTGGGGCTGCATTCTCATTTATCATATTAGTAGGACTTAGGGAGGATGGCTTTGCTTCTCTATTCCTTCATAGGTTGGTGGTGGTTTGGTGTGGGAGAGTGAGTAATTTGGGGAGATGGGTGTTCTAAAATTAATGTATTAATAATCCCTTAATAGAGCAGGATGGCAGACTACGATTCGTGTAGCCGACCCCAATTAGTTGGAAAAAGGCTTTGAGGATGATGATGATGATGATCGGCCTAACAGGCAACAGCCAATGCTGCCCTGAGAATTGTCTTAGATTTTAATGATTCGTAGAATATAAACAAGTATTTTTTAATATGTTTGGTGTTGCTTTAGCAATTCAATATATCGTGTTCCTTTCGGAATATGGATCCTGTATGGAGCTTTGATAAGTTTGAATGTTCATATGCTTTGGCCATTTAAATATGATTATTAATTTGTCCTTAGTGGACTCAGCCTATCAGCTGATCCAGATGCATGAAGATGGAAATGCTAATTTGAAACAGATTAATCACCTTGAAGTCTTGGGGCATTTGGTGATCATCTTGTGCAAGTTGATAAAATATTGATGTATCCTATGATCCAATTTACTTTATAATACTTGATATGGGTCTTTAAAAAATCGGACTAGTGGGTCAAACCGGTCACCTGCAGGTCTGATTCAGATTGGACTACTCAGTGGGCCAGCTCGGTCAACATGAGATTTTTCTTTTTCTCGTTTTTGTTTTTTTAAGACTACATTCAACTGCCTGGCCCAGATGATTGGGGTTTAAATCTGATTTCCTTGGGTTCAAAATTTAAATAAAATGAGTTGGATTCAAAATGATTAAAATCAATCACATATTTGTTTTTGAAATTTGAATCAAAAGGGACTTATTTAAATAAATCATATATCAAAAGTTCAAAATCAAAACCAAGTTGAGATCTTGTACAAAAATCGTTATGAATATGATTTTTTTATACCAAGTTTGATTTCAGAATCTCAAAACCCCATTATCGAACAATTTTATTTATTTATTTAATCATCGTCATCATCATTACAGCATTATCCCAACTAATTGGGGTTTGCTACACAAATCCTGTTTTGCCATTTTTCAATATCAAGGGTCATACCTTCAGTAAGACTGTAAGTCTTCATATATTTTCTCACTACTTCTATCCATGTCTTTTTGGCCTTCCTCTTGCTCCTTTAGAGCCTTTTACTTGAACAAAATTGCACCTCCTAACCAAAGCTGTATTGGGTCTGTGCTACACATGGCCATCACACCTAAATCTCCTTTCCCTCATCTTATCGCCTATTGAAGCCACACCTTAGTTCTTTCGAATGTATTCATTTCAAATTCTATCATTTCTTGTCTTACCATTCATCCATCTCAACTATTTATATATTTAGTAAATAATTTAAAAATCAAAGCTCAAAACCTCAAGCCATAGTTTTCCGCCAATGATTTGTTTATTTTCGCCAAAAAGATAGTGTTATTGGAGATCTATGAGAGAGAAAGATTTGTGACAACTTCAAATCAAGTTGGTGAAAATAGTGAAAGTATTGAGAAAATAAAATTTCAGGGGTTGCTTCTCATGTAAATAGGGCTGACTCGCTCTATTCCGGGAGGGACTCGACCAGTCTCCCACAGTTTCTGAGCAGACTCCAGCAGTTCTACGTCGACTTGGAGATTTTTAAAACACTTCTTTATATGCTTAACATACCGGTCTTATCTTGTCAACCCTAACACTGATACACACAATACTCCTAAGATTCTTGTATATATAAAATGACCACCTTGAAAGATATAATATCGAATTATGAATAAAATGACTATTATGCATTATATAAATGCATCAATATGTTGTATGTACATATTACATAAATGCATTATATTTATTGGTGTGTCTGATTGGATATTTCTATCCATATCTGCATGGAATAAGTTCTCCATATCCATATCCATTTCTGTGTATATGATAGATCATCTTGAACACATGTATCTAGTGTCTAATTTCTTATCTACAAATGTTTTTGGCTTCGTGGTTTCATCTTTCTGAGTTAATTAGGTGAGAGAAAGAGAATGTCTAATTTCTTATCTACAAGTGTTTTTGGCTTCGTGGATTCATATTTCGAGTTAATTCGGTGAGAGAAAGAGAATAATTTAGGTTTTTGGTGAAATTAGAGGGAGAAGCAATAGATGGGTGCATCCTTAGTTCATCGAAGAGAATGTCCTTTGGTATTCCTGCATTTTTTATGGTCATCACCTGTGCTGTCGGAAGCATCTCACTTTTAATATTTATTCTTGGGCCCTGCAATTTTTGATGTGGGAGTTCATAGTATTCTTTGCTTGCTTTGTTTCTCAATTCACTCATTCCATGTGATAGGACTTTGAGCTGAACATTTATAATTCCAATGCATCATCCACGAGCAAGCATGTCTCCTGTAGCAACAGCCTTTGTCAGTGGCAAAGTGAGTGTTCAAGATCAACAGGTCATTGCCCTTACCAGGTTTCATATGTTTCTGATGATACATCATCTTCTGGGGTCTTAATCGAGGATGTTTTGTACCTGACTACTGATGATAGTCAAGTTGTTAAGGCACCAATAACATTTGGGTAAGACTATTACTGTGCAAGTGCTCACTCTAATGCAGTTTTTTTTTACATAATATTTCACTTTGATATGAAATTTATTAAACTAAGAATTTATATGGGAGTTAATAATATACTACCAGTATATAATTTTTCTTTATCAGTATGCTACCATTACTTGAATTAAATTCGACCTTGCTTCATGAAGATTATTTCTTTATTGTCGATTATTTGTTATTCTTGTTCTAGAATATGTTGATGGCTATATATAGGTGAAATATATTATAATTGTATGAATATGGAAACTACTATAACTATATGAATATGGAAACCATAGTCCATTGGGACCATCTCTATCTAATTAAATGCTTGAAGGTAATGGAGAGAGAATGGGACTCACATTTGGGTTGATGTCTCTTTCTTGAATTTCCCACTCTCTCTCACCATCCATTTCATATGCTGATGATGGCCTCAATGATATATGAAATACTATAATCTATTAAATTATATTATACTTACACATGAATAAATGCCTAATGCTACATCCTTAATGCTTGAATTGTCTGTGGTTACCACTGTTTTGGATAATGATGTGACTCATTCTGTCGCTGTTTTCTAGCTGTGGGCAGGTGCAGAGTGGGTCGTTCTTGGACGCTGCCGCTCCAAATGGTCTATTTGGACTAGGCGTAGAGAAGTTATCGGTCCCTAGCATTTTATCCGGACTGGGTCTTATACATGATTCATTTTCGATGTGCTTTGGACAAGATGGTATTGGGAGGATCCGTTTTGGAGACAATGGCAGTTCAGATCAAGAAGAAACCCCATTCAATCTAGATCAATCATAGTGAGTGGTACTTTCTGTGCTGTTTGCATGTATCATGCATTCTAGGCTATAGCCCAATGGACTATGATATATGGGCTTCAAGTTATGCCTACTAAATAATAAGTTACCACTGATGGATGGTTTGGACCTGATTAAACGTACTTGATTGGATCATGTTGAGTGCAACTGTGGGCCGCAATTGGTTGATTTCCACCATTTGTTTCTGTGTGGTGGACATAACTTGGAGTGCCCTATACCATAGTCCGTCGCGTAATGGTGCACTTTCTCTTCCTTTGGCTCTTATTGCTTTGGCACCTCAATGTTTTTACTGACATTCGCTGTCATCATTGAACTCTAGCCCAACATACAATATCAGCATAACTGACATACAAGTGGGATCGAGTTCCATAAAGACAGGATTTAGTGCTCTTTTTGACTCTGGCACCTCCTTCACTTATTTAGCGGATCCAATTTATACGCGCCTTGCTAAGAGTGTAAGTACTTGACTCAAGATAATGAAGTTTATAGTTTAGACAAATAGACTATGAAAAATATAGTTAATTCGGCTCACTATCCAATGAAATGATTGATTGATGATTTATGGGTTCCACTAGTCGGGTGATTTCCTGTTTTGGTGTTCCTACACTCTTTCCATCAATGCCCATTTCAATGGGTAGGTGATGACCTTGATCAGTGATAAAAATAATTGTGGGGCCAACTGGGTTGCGTCTGAATTGGGACCCTGGGATTCCCAAGGAGAACATTGGAATCAACCCGAGTCTCATCTTAAACCCTATTTTCATCACCATTATCATTAAAGGCTTTTCTCAACTATTTGGGATCGTCTACATGAATCCTAGTCCGCCGTTCTGTTCTATTAAGGACCATACTCTCAGTTAGGTCATTAGTCTCCAAATTTTTTCTCACTACTTCCAACCATGTCCTTTTGGACCTACCTTTTACCCTTTGTGAGCCTACCACTTGAACTAACTTACACCTCCTAATAAGTGTTTTACTGGGTGTGCGCTGCATATGGCCAATCCAACTACATCTACTTTCTCTCATCGTATCACCTATTAGAGCCACACCCAAGTTCTTCAGATGTGTTCATTTCGAAATACCCTTCTTGTCTTGCGACTCATCCATCTCAACATCCTCTTTTCAGCTACATTCATGTTATGGGTATGTTGTTTCTTAACCGCCCAACATTGCATCCCATAAAACAAAGTTGATCTCACAACTGTCCTAATAACATAAATTCGGGATTCATAAAAATTTTTGACAAAGTTTTATGTTTGCTGCCGACCTTACACAGCTCGCCTCTTTTAAAGGGCTTGGGACGAGTTAAGGGAAAGTTTAAGAAATTACTCATCTGACTTGGGCATGTCTGAGTCGTACTACATACCGAGTGGCTCGGGGTTGGGACCCTAGTGAGTCCGTGCCCGATTTGTTGATTTAATCACTGATGCTGATAGACAACATTTTTACATTGTTGGAATGTAAAATAGTTTACCTTACGTGTATTTATTTATTTATTTTTGGGGTTTCAGCTCTATGAAGTTTTGTTATCTTTTTGCAGTTTGATATACAGGTGCCAGATAAACGACATCAGCCTGATTCAAGGCTTCCTTTCGAATATTGTTACAATGCCAGGTCTCTTTTTATTACAATACTGTTAAATTCCATTTCAATTTCAGTGCCTGAGAGGAAGTGATTGCTGAGAATGTATCCCTTTTCATCAAGTTGTGCAGTTCCAATGTGAATTCTAACATTCCAGATGTGAGTTTGCTGATGCAAGGCGGGAGCCGGTTTCCTATTTATGACCCAATTATTTCATTCTCCACTCAGGTAAGCAAGAAACGAGAAAGTTTTGCCTTTGTGTTTTAGGGAATTATGCTTACCCAATGGTCCATGGTTTCCATAATCCACAGGGATCATCACCATCCAATGAAATGATGGTTGGTGAGGCAGAGTGTGTGTGACCCACCAGAACAGGATGTGACTCTAATGGTGGGTCCTGCTTTCTATCCTTCACCATCCGTTATTTTTGTTGCCCATTAACAACCTGTGGAATTCTGGTTCCCCAGCGTAGGAGTATACTACAGAACATCTGGCCTATCCATATTTCTTCCCCCCACCCTACTTAAATGGTTGGTGGTGAAACCATGATGTGCAGGGTCACATTGTTTATTGCCTGGCGGTTGTGAAGGGCGAAGGCATGAATATTATTGGGCGTAAGTCTTTAATTCAAGTTTTGGATTGTTTTATTTGTTCTGAGTATGGAGATAATTCAAGTTTTGGATTGTTTCATTTGTTCCGAGTATGGAGAACGATTGAAAATAGTATGATTAAAAATGATCGCTTTTTTTGGGTCCTGCTGTACAAAATTACAATTCAGCTGATCATCAATAAAAGAAGGAACTATTTTACAATTTATTCTATGTACCATCTTGTGCAATGTGAGGAAATTTGCTTTACAAAATCACTATTTCCTTTTAGTTTTATTTTTAATATTTTGAACAGAAAAGGGCATCTTGATTTCATGATAACTCTTTGTGCTGATATTTATAGTTTTCTATTGTTTTCTCGAAGAAAAACCCATCTTTCTAAAATTTCCTTGTATACTAGTCATACACCATCTTATTTCAAAACTGATAAAAAGTTACCAAGGATTGTGAACTTGCTACTTGCAAAAGTTGTTTTAAGCTTCATGGTACTCATACTGGGGTTGTTGCTCTTTATCCAGAGAACTTTATGACGGGCCTCCGTATAGTTTTTGACCGGGAGAAACTCGTCTTGGGTTGGAAAAAATTCAATTGTAAGCTGGACTCTTTCTCTCTCTCTCTCTCTCTCTCACAAAGGTCAATATAATATCGGATTTTCTCTGCACTAACAACATAATAAATAATATCAGGTTACGATGTTGAGAATACCAGCACTCTTGACATCAAACCGCCATACACAGTACCTCCATCAAGTTCTGTTGCGCCAGACAATTATGCACCAGAAGACACAAAAACGATGGGAAATACAACACAAGTTTCTATACCACCACCACCACCTCTCTCTGATGCAGCAAGACTCTTCGTCTTTGGTTTCACACGTGCGCTATCCCCACTTTTCCTTTTGTTTGTGGCCCTCTTTTGACACATACACACACCCTCTCTCTCTCTGTGATGGCTCATGTATTATTGTGGGCTTCACCTCGTTTTGGTCTCTCAGAGTTCTGTTGTGCTACACCATGTGAAACGGCGTTCTATGTAAATATGGTTTTATGATGAGGGCTGACATGGTGGTGCTCAGAAGTATTTATGCTCATGTTCTATTAGTGATGATTGTTCTATTATTCATGTTCGTGCCAGTGTGCTGTTACTGATGTTATGAGATATAGAATCGAAGGCTCCCAATAGGCACATTGCTTCTCGGTGATTGCAGACCTACTTAGGAGGATGCTCGTGATGTGAAAATTATGTGGGGTTTTCGTCATAAATGCAATGAAAAGGTACAGTGGTGGTTAAAAGGGTGAACAATGGAAAGGCCACTTTGGCTCCTTATACGTATAAATCGGGTGCACCTATAAAATTTAGTTAGAGATGTCGTTTCAGTATCGAAAATCTTATGGTGGCTTTAAAATCTCTTTTTAAATTCAGTTAGAAAATTTAAAATTTATAAAATGGTACAGATCGAGCAGATTAATAAACACTTGAAAAAAAAAATAAAAGGAGTTCCAAGGTCAAAAAATAATACATCTTGTAAAAAATCATTTGGACTGTTTGTTTTCAAGATTTTCAAGTGTCCAAATGATTTTTTGCAAGATGTATTATTTTTTGAACTTGGAACTACTTTTATTTTTTTTTTCATGTCTATTCGTCTAGATGATCAGTTGGAGGGTTCTCCTATATGGGAACACTCCACTGTAGAATTTTTGAGATGCCCCTTTCCTCAACACTATAAGGTTGTAACTTTATAGAAACTTTTTCCTTATATTAATACGTCAAATTGCTTCACTAGCAACATCACTCTGTAAAGTCCGTTATTTTTTTTATATGTTCGGAGTTTGGAAAAACAATATACATATATAGCCTCTCCCAAATATTGAACTCAAGAATCATCATGTCAAGTGGACTAACCAACATATTAGCCCTTTGATTAAGAAAACCGGCCGTTATATTATTTATGCGTACCATATTATTAAGAAAGAGTGAAGGGATGGACATTTGTCAAGAATAAAAACAAACCTTAATACTATAGAGATGATGGGGTAGGTGGCTCTATTGTGCAAGTCACATTTCATGGGGAGAAAGAAAAAGTGATTCCGTACACATACATAAGGGAAAGAGATTGCATGAGAGATTTTAGGAGAGATTTTTTATAGAAGCTTGTGTAGGGGATAGAGATAGGGATAGGTGGGGAGAGAAAATGCAGGTAGAGAGAGATGTGTAGAGAAATACATGAAAATAAAAGCTGTATATGGATATATATAATTCTTGAGATTCTTAAAATTTAGGAGAGGCGATATTCTTAAAATTTAGGAGAGAGGGGATATTCTTAAAATTTAGGAGAGAGGGGATACTCTTATGGAAGTTGTGTATAGGGAGATAGAAAAAGGGAAGTGGAGAGATTTGGACGTTTTGGAAACTTAATATTTTCTCTACACAAAAAATCTTATTAATTTTATGTTAAATAATCATAAAAAGATGTATTCGAGTATTGAGAGGGATAAGCCCCACATTTAAAGAGAGATACATATAATATGAAAAGTATTGGAATTCAATTATTCAAATTAGAACCATATCTAATTTCTTATGGAGGGAGAGCGAGAAAAATATATGTTGAGAGAAAGATATGAAGAGAAAGAGATAAACTAAATATTTGCTTTTCAATATTGTATCCTAGTGGTTGATATAAATCGAATTGATTTATAATATCATCGTAACTTTATGTGTTTTAATATATTTGAATCTAATTGATTTATAATATCATCATAACTTCATTCATGGACATGGCTTTGAATTTTCTAACAATTAAGCATTAAGCTTTTTCTATACTTCAAACTCACAATTGAAAGACGAGTAGGAGCTTCATCAAATAAGTAACAGTTAAGCATTAAGCTTTTCCTACTTCAAACTCACAATTGAAAGCTTCATCAAGTAAGTACGTAGAGTTTCATAAGGCAAACGGCGTAAGAGATGGAATCCACATTACTGTTGGGGCATAAGTGATTTATAATGATTTAATTTTATTTGATTATATTAGATGCTAATATCTTGAAAATATTGATTGTCAATATATTATATATTAAAGATATATTCTCTATTTGTTTACTTTATCCCTTTTATGTATTGTTAGGTATGCTTTCTCTTGTTTTACTTTCATGATTTTTTTTTATTTTTATGGTCCTTTTTATAGCTTAGATTTATATGGTGGAATATATCTATGAATTTGAATAGATAATGGAAGTTCTCCTTATCATTCTTCCAAGAAGATACAGATCACAAAAATATTGATGTCTAATAGTTAAACAAGATAAACAAAACAAAATATTAGTGGCTAATTTCTTGAAGGTAATGATTGCCAATTTATTATATATTAAATGTACATTATCTACTTGTATACTTTATCCCTTTTCCATATTTTTAGGTACGATCTCTCTTGCTTTACTTTCATATGCCCAGTTCCATGTAATAGATCATGATTTTTTGTTTATTTTTATGGTCTTTTTTATGGCTTAGATTAATGGTGGAATATATCTATGAATTTGAATAGGTCATGGAAGTTCTCCTTATCATTCTTTCAAGACAATACAAGCCACAAAAAATATTGAGGTCTAATATTTAAACAAAAGAAACAAAACAAAATATTTGTTGTTAATTTCTTGAAGATATTGTATGTCAATATATTATATATTGAAGGCACATTCTCTATTTGTTTACTTCATCCTTTTTATGTTTATGTATTTTTAGGTATGTTCTGTCTTGCTTTACTTTCATGATTTTGTGTTTATTTTTATTATCCTTTTTATGAATATCTATGAATTTGAATAGGTCGTGAAAGTTCTCCTTATCATTCTTTCAAGACAATACGTGCCACAATAAATATTGAGGGCTGATATTTAAACAAAAAAAAAAAAATTAGAGGGCATCCATAAGAATATTGAATACTGTTTTTTTTTTTTCCTTTTTTTGTACTGCTCCCTCTCCCTCTCTCTCTCTTCTAACCATGTTTGACGTTCAAACTATTTTTGCATGTCTGGTATAATTAATAATATACTACCTTGCAAGTGAGTGATCCTTGGGAATAACTCTGATATGTTTATAATTTGAAAAATATTGTCTCAAAAGTTGGTGGTTTTTGGTCTCTTTCTAAAATAATCTGATATATCATATTTACATTATTAGTCACATTTTTCTATATGTATCATTTGCACATTCATCTTCTTGGAGGAAGGCAGATCAGAAGATGAACTGGCCTCTAGGTTAATATGTGATTTTTTAGTGTAGTTTTGTTTTTGTAATGCATATACTTATGACATTAAAGTTCTCTGATACATGCTTACGAGAGAAACAAGCAATTCAAACTCATACATACGGTATATGCATATTTGTATGCTATGTAGGTATCAATGTGTGTGTACATGCATGTATGTGCGTTGTTGCTTTGATATGCCAGTTAGGTAATAAGCTTGGAAAACCATGAAAATTGTCAAAATACTAAATTCGCACAATATTAGTTCAAATATTTGGTCGTCTAGAAACATTCAAATTAAACTGCGTATTTGCAGGTCTAAGTTATTGAAATTTTATAAAATCATCAAATCCATGGCTCTCAAACCATTGGAATTTTGAAATGAAATCAAACTGATACATGCATGGAAATTAGTATTAGTTTATTAACACGTAAATTAGTTTCATTTAATTACAAAGTCATAACGTAATACATTGCTTGAGGAGAGAGAGAGAGAGGAGGATTACATAGTTCAATTGGAGAGAGAAAGAAAGTTTGTTGGAGAGAGAGAGGATTACATAGTGCAATTGGAGAGAGAAATAAAGTTTGTTGGAGAGAGAGAGAGGATTCCATATAATAGAATATAATATTTACCTATTTTAAAACCTGAAACATTTTAAAATCTCATTTCTTTTTTGTATGATTGTAAGTTTGATTTATTGCTATTTTTTATTAACTTGAATATCATATATTGATTTTCATACTATCCATCCATCCATGCATGCTATAATTTCATGATTGCATTATTTAATTGCAACCTACAAACAACTAAATTTTCACAATTTTAATTTAATATTTTAAAATGTCAAAATAAACTATGTTTTCTTAACTATTAAAAGACTTCATGTTGTTTTCCATATAAAATTTCAAAGTTTGTAAATAATTAATGATGAATTTCTTATTTCTCTCAAAATAAATTTTTAAAATATCCTTAGAAATATGTATGTATTTCCATCACAGACAATGACAACAATGCCGTTGTTTTATTACAGTGGTGTTATATATTTCATTGCTTTTCTATCACATGGTCATAAGATTATTTTCGTTATTACTTATTTCATTCTTACGTGCAAAACACATAATTCAACTATTATATATCATATATTTGTTTTTATTTTCTTTGAAAAAAGATTGAACTATACTTGGGTGAGTCAACTCGCCAAGCCGGGTCGATTTTCAAAACACTTTTATATATTCACTTTTATAAGGCGTTGTCTATGTAGTGTGTTTATGTAGTTTCCCTATAGTATAGGTATTACGTAACTTTAAAAAAAAAAAAATCACTATTAAAGTAGAATGTCTATCGCGTGGAGTTCATCTCTTACGTGACATGCACCACATATGCATTTTGCATGACATAAACATTAACTAAAGGGAAAATTCTAAATGTGACCCCATCACATATAATAATAGAGTGCATTTAGATATGAGTAGATGGTTGGCTCTCGAGCGCCAAATGTTGATCTAATGGTCTACAGTATTTTATTTTTAATTTTTAATCTATAAATTATTTTTAAAAAATAGATTTAAAATAGCCATGGGTTAGAAGATATAGTTTGAAATCTTGAGTTTATCAAGATCTGGGTTAGAAGATATAGTTTGAAATCTTGAGTTTATCAAGATCTGGGTTAGAAGATATAGTTTGAAATCTTGAGTTTATCAAGATCTGAACATTTATCAAAAGTAAATGGTCTCCTTATATACTTTCCCATCTCATAATATGCCTTAATCATTCTATTTTCGATGTTCCTCTCTCTCCCTCTCATCCTCGCCTCTTTATATCTTAAATATTAAAACTCTCTCTAGAAAAGCTAGAAAAGAATTACCTCTCTCTCTCTCAAGAATTGCCCATCTCTTTTTTTTGACAACTAAGAATTGCCTACCTCTCAAGAAGATTTCTTCAAAAAAAACAAATCATGGGGGAGATCACCTGTACACCAGACACCTCCAATCTAATGCTCCTAGCGGAGTGCGCCTGCGATGCTTCAAAAGATGGAAGATATTTCAACACTCTGAAGAAATTGGGGGCTCGAAAGATGAGTCATGTTTGCGAGAAAACCCTAACAAACACTGACAGAGACCCGCATCAAAGTAAGCTCTCTCTCCCCAAAGACTTCATGGAAAAGCATGTCATCCCCTTCCTTACTGACGATGAGCGAAAAAGAATTACAGAGAAGGAAAAAGGTGGGGGGTTGCCGGTGGTTGCCTATGACGAAGCAGGGAGGACTTGGGATCTAATCTTCAAGTTCTGGGATAGTTCCGGGAACTACGTATTGATCAAGGACTGGAAGAATATTAGGGAAGCAAACAATTGGAAACACAAATTGTCCTTCTGCACCTTTAGATTTGGCTTGAATGGCAAGCT